TGACCTGCCAAAGGAGACAAAGCTGGAGGTCTGCGGTCATGGGAACATTACTGTAATTACACGTAGGCATTGATTCTTAGGTCAGGCAGGTAACTAAGATAAAAGTTTTAAACAAAATGGAGTAAGCTGGTTAATATTATTATTTTGCTAGCAATTTGATTTTGTTAACTGATTTAGTTCATTTCACCTGGGGTGGTGTCCATGCCTCAGAGAGTATTCCAAGGATGCTGGACAGCCTGTCTGCACCTTGAGCCCCAACTTTTGCCAGTTTCCTTCCCCGCCTCCACAGTCTCTGGTGAGAAGTGGGTTGGACCCACCACCCTGTGCTCATATCTGCTCCCAACCACATGCTGCCTTCAACTCCTGTGGCAGCAGCTGAGGTGCAGGACCCAGGTAGCCGGTGTCCTGCAGCCCAAGCCTGTGTTCCCCACATCTCAGGTCAGGAGGGGCCCAGCTGGTGTCTTTCCAGCTCTATGGACAGACAGCAGAAAGCCAGGACCAAAGTTGGCTTGTGCTCCGTTTCTGGTGTGTTGTGACACCCTTGTCCTGGCTTTGGCCTCTGCCCAGCTGGGCCCTGAGCCCACCAGCCCCCAGTGCTCACCCTTTGGAAAGAGAGGAGCCTTGGCTAAGAGCAGGAAGCATATTTGAATGGAGAGAGCTCTTCCCGAGATACACAATGACCTGGGGTGGCTAGGGCCCTGGGACTCCTTCCTCAGTCATTGAGTTTATCTATGGGAGGACCCTGGCCTCTGCTTCCAAAGCAGGTAGGGGGACTGCCAGGCCACACTGAGGCCGATCTGGAGCTCGGACACCTGGGTGTGCGGAAGAGCAGGCAAAGCTCAGGCAGCATGGGTGAGGGGGAAGGAGGCAGGGGTGGGGAGTGAGGATGCTGGGGCAGCAGAAGTGAGGGGGAGGAGGCTGGGGCTGCAGGGGGGAGTGGGGAGGAAGCGCCTGTGCCCACCTGTTGCCCCTCTTCCAGAGCCCCGTTCCCTCTCCAGGTTAAGCTTCATACTTCCCTGCTGCCCACAGGCCATTGGTACACTGTTACAGGCCATGGCCTGCAGCCATGAAGGGTTAACCACAGCCTGTAGACTGGACCCCTGGGCTGGGTCTGAGCAAACTACCCTGCTCTCTATGCATTCTCCCAGGGTCCAGGCAGGTGCTGGATCCTCACTTTCAGGTGAGGAAGCTGAGTCTCAGGGAGGTCACACAACTGGGTATGGGGAGAGAAGGGGTTTAGTGTGGAAGTGAGGAGGGGAAGATGGGGAGGAAAAGGCGGAAGGGGAGGCAGAAAGAGAGACTGTGCCCCGCCAGGCAGTGTCTTCCAGCAGATGGCTGCACCAGTCTCACAAGCTGCCAGTGCTGGGCAGCAATCCTACCACCTCCGGTTCCCAGTGCAGGTGTAGACCCCTCTAGTGTGGGCGCCTCGACCACAGGTTGTGGCTTGCACCACGTGCAGAGTGGAGCCCACACCTGTCAACATTGGCCCATGTCACAACTGAAGGCAAACACCAGACCACACAGTGAGATGTGGGCTGTTACAGGCACATCTGGGGCCTTGCATGGTGTCCATGGCAGCGTCAGCCACAGATGAGGCCTCAAACCTGGCTCCTACACCTTCCTTCATTTGCTCTGAAGAGGACGTTACAGACCTCTGGGTTTACTACTTACCGCCTTTTTAACCTTGGACAAATTTCTGAATTGTGTGCTGTGCCTTAGTTTCTTCATCTGAGCAACAGTCATATCAGAAAGTGTGTGGTTGTTGTACAGTTTAAATGAGATCTGCCTCATCAAGCCCAGGGCCTCATTTCTGGCAAGTGCTCAGGGAGTGTGGGGTCCTCATTTTTCAAATGGGTAAACTGAGTAAGGGGAAAAGAGCGATGTGCCCCAGGGCCCAAGGTGATTTCACAAGTGACTTGGACTCCTGCACACCATGTGCAGTCAAGGCCAGTGCTGAGCGACCCCAGCTCTGCATAGCTGTCTACTCTGAGGCTTTCATTTCACTCTCTGGATTATTCCATCCAGTTCTCCCTGCATGGAGAACTCAAGGGCAGCAGGGAGGAAGCCCCAGAGATGATCACATCAGGATACCTGAAAATTAATAGACCGCCGCAGTTCTATAAGTAAAGCAAACTAAGTATCTTCAATGAGGCAATACAATGTTTTCTGTTTGCAGCCGCATGTGCTGTGCTGTCTGCTGCTCTGTGACTGACTCTGTGCTGAGAACAACGTCTGACCCTGCTGTCTGGGCCACTGTGTGTGCAGGAGGTTGCAGGGAGAGGTGGGCCTGCCTATCCTAGGAAGGGCCACACTGCTGATCTTGGCTCTGGGGACCTGGACCTTGCCCTGGGCAGGGAAGCAGCCCCAGACCTCCCTGGCAATTCAACCACCGCTCATCTGGTTACCCCATACCAGATGCTGGCCTGGCTGTGCCCTTTCCAGGAACATCTGCCTTTTTCCTCTCCTATTTTTAAACTTCTCACCCTTCAAAGTCCACTTCTTCTAGGAAGTCCACTGTGATGGACTCAGCACACAGCTCCCACAGTCCTAAACAGTCCTCGTCACCAGTAAATTGTTCTTTCCCTACTTTGCATCAGCTGCAAAGAACATCTGACTGGAAAGGTAGGCAGTGACCCGAAGAATGGAGATGGGCGTCCTCTCTGAAGGCACCTGCTCCCCAGCAGTAGAGGGGTGGAAGGAGCCTGTGATGTGGGAAGGTGTACAAGCACCAGCAGACTTCTCCATACATCACATGAACCCCAAATGGCCATGTTCCTGGAGAGGGGCTTAACATTATAATGATATACTAATGAGCCAACGCAGCTGGGGGTAACTGCCTAGTCTGCATCTCCTCAGTATCTGGCAGGGGTCACTCAGCCACATATGGCACTTAAGTCAGGCAGTCTAGCTTCCTTAAGCAGCTGAGCCTGTGGATACAGAGAAGAAAGGAAGCTTAAGTTTTCCCCAGGAGGCCGGGTGGTGGCTCATGCCTGTAGTTGCAGCACTTTAGAAGGCCAAGGTGGGAGGACTGCTAGAGCCCTGGAGTTTGAGACCAGCCTGGGCAACATACCAAGACCCAGTCTCTACAAAAAAAATTTAAAAATTAGCTAGGTGTAGTGTAATGCACCTGTAGTCCCAGAAACTCGGGAGGCTGAGGCTGGAGGATTGCCTGAACCCAGGATGTCCTGGCAGTGGTGATTGTGCCACTGCACTCTAGCCTGGGTGACAGAGTAAGACTAGACTGAAAAAAAAAAAATTCTCCAGGAAGAAGGGCTGGGAAACTGCAAGCATGGCTACATGCAGGCCAGAATTCTTTTATTTATTTATTTTTGAGTTGGAGTCTCATTCTGCTGCCCAGGCTGGAGTACAGAGGCATGCATGCTCACGGCCACCCCAGCATCAACCTGCTAGGCTCCAGCGATCCTTCTGCCTCAGTCTTCCAAGTAGCCGGAACTACAGGCATGCACTACCACGCCCAGCTATTGTTTATTTAGAGACATGGTCCCGCCAAGTTGCCCAGGCTGGTCTTGAACCCATGGCCTCAGGCAGTCCATTTGCCTCGGCCTCCCAAAGTGCTGGAATTACAGGTTGAGCCACCGAGCCTGGCCCAGCCAGAATTCTTAAGCACATGATTAGGCATTCACTACAGCAGAAACAAGAAACAAGAAATGGCTGTTGGGGTGTCCTGGTGACATCCTGGCCACTGGAGCTTGTGCTCAAGTCTACACTGTTCATATTGCCACCAGGAAAACACTGTTGGTGCCCATCCACACCACCTCAGCCCTCCCACTTATGGGCAAGCCCATGGTTTCTCACTGCAAAGGCTGCTGACTCCCTTCCCAGGCCTCTTCTAGCTGCAGGAGGGTACTCCTGCTGGGCAGTTAAGAGTGCCCAGGGCAGCTTCCAAACAGTCATAGGGAGAAATGCAAGTAAACTGCAAGGAGACACTGCTTGCTACCCACTAGACTGGCTGCAATCACAAGACCAACAACACTAAGTGCCGACAATGATACACAGCAATGGAACTCTTTTTGTTGTTGTTGAGAAAGCAGGATTTATTGAGAGGACAGAAAAGCTCCTGCAGTGGGAGGGGACCCAAAGGGGTTGCCCCAGCAATGGAACTCTTATACTGCACATAGGATGATGGAAGCATACAGTGATGCAACCACTTCAGAAAACCGCTTAACACTTCCTAATAAAGTTCAACACACATCCACATCTCCTTTATCACCCGGAAATCTCACTTCTAGGGAATTATCCAAGAGAAACAGAGAACATGCCCACAAAGAGACTTGTACATGGATTTCAAGGCAGCTTTATTCATGACAGTCAAAACTTAGAAAGGACCCTGGTGTCCAACTTGAGAATGGATAAGCAAATGTGGCACATTCCCTGGTGGACACTGCGGCAGTACAAAGGAAACAGTTATGTGTCCACAACAAGGATGACTGTCCAAGACTCTGTGTCATGTAGGCGAAGTTATCAGGAAACAGCTTATTTTCCATGATTCTAGTTACATGAAATTCTAGACCAGATAAAACTAAGATCAATAGATGGGAATCAGGTGATTGCGTCCTATGGGATGTTCTATTACAGAGCAAGGTAGGTTGGCTGCCTGGGTGTAACCAGTGACTGTGCATTCTACTGCCTGTAGATTATATCCCAATAAACATGTGCAGAAGTCACAGAGATCAGCGAGGAATGCGCAGAAGGCCTAGAAAAGCAGGAGGGGAAGCAAACCAAAGATCACTTGCAATTAACCTCCCAGATATGCACATACTTGGTTCTGCTATTCACACCAACTGTGACCCTCCCGATGGCGAGAATGGAGACCGCAGCGCGACACTGCTTCCCTGCCACGAGGGCCCGTGCCTCCCTCAGTGCCAAGACAAACTCAGACCCAGGGGGGAGCACGAGGCCCAGGACGCCCCCTCCACCCCCGCGGGTCACCCAGAGCCCTCTCACTCCCCTCAACCCTGCCGGTCACCCAGAGCCCCTTCCCGCTCCTCGTGCCGGTTACCTGGAGACCACACCCGCCCCTCGCCGGTCACCCAAAGTCTCCTCTCACCCTGCCCTTCCCCCGGAGCCCACGCTCGCCCCCCGTCGATCACACGGAGGCCCCTCTCCCCTACTGGTCCCGTGGACCTGCCTTTCGGAGCGACCACAACTCAATTCTACGGAGTCACCGAGTCCCCCGTACACACGGACGCCTCTCCTGCCCGCCCCTTAGAGGCTGCGGCCCCCGTGACCCCCACAACATTCGGGGCCGCGTCCCGCTGACCCGCAGCGCTTGGACGACTGGCAGGTTCGGCGGACTAGGCTGGTACCGCTCGGGGCGCGTCTCCATGGCGATAGCGCCGTCGCGCGCTTCCGGGCTC